GGACTTACAAGCTTTCTATGGTGATGCTTTTCGCTATTCCTTTCTCTCCCCCTCCAGTGTCTATTTTATAATATAAAACAAGGAAAAACCAAGATTCAAAAGACCGCCAAGCATCTTAATATTGTTCCCCCCTTTTCCACATTCCAACCATGGCTCGATCTCTGTATCGCAGAACTCTGTTGTTGTCAAGTTGTGCATATATCTACCTTTCGTTTTTGAACATCAACTCTACAAGGCTGTTTTTCCTCTCCTCTTCCATCTAGTCCTCCAATATGCACTTCCAGTCCATCTTACACAAGGGGTCAGATTGATTTTCCTCAAACACCACTTTGTCCCTTTATTCCTGATTCAAAATCTTAATGTCCTGTAGTCACCCTCTGCTTGCCTTCCAATTTTCTCATTCCTGAATGTTCCAGATAAACCAGAGCAGTTTCCTCACACTCCTACAAACATGCTGTGGCTTACGCCTCCCTCCACGCTTTCATCTGTGCAGTTATTCTAACATGGAAGGCTCTTACCTTTCTCTCTCACCTGTCAAATCTCCACCTTCCCTACAGAGTACTTTGTCAGTGTTGCTCATGTTTCTCTTCCAAATTCTCACAGCACGTAGCATATCTGCTACTAATTAAACCTACCCACTTATTAGTGTAGTGGTTACGAATCAGGCTGCTAACCTCAAAGTCAGTAGTTCTAACCTGCCAGCCATTCCTCAGGAGAAAGATGAGGCTTTCTGTTCCCGCAAAGCCTCAGAAACCCTCTACAGGGTTGTGGTGAATCAGAACTGACTCCATGACACATAACCACCACACTCTTTTTGGAGCCCTGATGTGGCACTGCAGGATAATGCACTGGGCCGAAAGGTTGGTTTGAACTGAAGGCTAGCGTTTCAAACCCATCAGCCACTCCTCGGAAACCCTAGACAGGTTCTCTATGAGTTGGAACCGACTCAATGGCACTTAACAACAACAATAGCACTCTTAAATACCCATTCATTGCCATCGAGTCAATTCTGATTTCTAACGACCCTATAGATCAGAGTAGAACTGCCACATAGGGTTTCTGAGGCTTTAAACCTTTACAGAGGCCAATTGCCTCTGTTTTCTCTAGTGGAGCAGCTGGGGTATTTGAACTGCTGAACTGCTGGGCATTTGGTTAACAACCTAGTTAACAACATGGTTAACAACCATGGCACCACCGGCTCTTTTTTGGAGTTAACATGCTTAAATATATACAATTTGTTGGGTCCTACAGCATTAACCTGGAGTCCTGGTGTGGTGCTGTAGGATAAGCACTGGATTTTCTGGCCTGTTTGAACTGTAAGGTTGATAATTATATTCATTATTCAGTGCTGTGCAAAAATTACCACAAATTTAACAGTTTAAAACAACACACTTTTATTATATCACAGTTTATTTGGGTCAGAAGTCTGAGCATGACTTTGCCAGGGTCTCTGCTTAGGGTCTCACAAGGCTGCAAACAAAGATTGGTTGGTTTGGGTTCTCATCTGGAGGCCTAACTGGAAAGAATACACTTCCAAGATTATTCAGTTTGGTGGAAATCATTATCTGCAGCTGCAAGATTTAGGGCCCCAGCTTGTTGTTGACCAGATGCTGGAGGCTGCTGGAGCTCCACAAGGCTGCCTGCCGATCCTTGACAGCCACTTACTTCATGGAACCAGCAAGGAGAGTTTCTAGAGTAAGTCTGCTAGCAAGATGGACTCCTTTAACACAGCACATCTCACAGGAATGACACCCACTACCTCTGCCATATAACAACCTGATCATGGCAGTGCTACCCCATCACTTTTGCTGTATTTTAAACAGAATCCCAAGTGGTACAAATGATTAAGTTCTCAACTACTGGCTGAAAGGTTGGTGGTTTGGACCTCAGAGGTGCCTTAGAAGACAGGCTTGGCGATCTACTTCCCAAAAGCCATAGTCTTGAAAACGCTGTGGCAGGCAGCTCTACTCTGCACAAATGGATCAAGTCAGAATGGACTCGATGGTAACACACAACAACAACAACAACAACATTGATTAGAAGCAAGAGCTACCTACACTCAAAGGGAAGGAATTCTATATGAGCATAGACACCAGGAGGTGAGGATCGTGAGGACCATCCTAGAGTCTCTGAACAATGATGACTAAGTGTTAGCTGAGTGGAACAGGACCTCCAGGACCTCAGAGGGACTATTACTCTCAACACGTGCTGAGGTGACACCACCACTAGTGAACTACTGCCATCCAGGTACCTGGGAATTCCTATTTTAATATGAGATTGTGAGAGGCACCATTGTCGGTTCACAGACAAACAGAGATCTCAGGAATGGTCTTAGAGATCAGCGGCCCCAGCCTCTTCAGGAGAACTCACGAACGTGAACCTGGTTTGGGAAGGAGGCTGTGGCTATCTATTGTCCAAGTACCAGAGGATTAAGCTTCAGATCTTGGCTGTGGGGATAAGAAAAGGGGAACATGTTCAGGAGACGGCAGACCTGAAGAAGCACCAAGTAAACTTACTAGAGGACTGGGCAGGGTGGGGGAGGGAGAGAAAGGAGGTCAAGGTGAGTCTGAGATGAGGTGGCCCAGGGACGAGTAGGTCAGAGCTGCTGAGGATGGCTAAGGAGGTGATCCATTGGCTCTTTTCTCCAGTTCAGGATAAATAAGTTCTCATTTCTGTGGAGCACTCCTAGAGACAAAGAAATCCCTCAGTATATTCTGTTGAATCTTCAGCTGGCAACATAACATGTAGCATGAAGACACAAAAGTTAACCGAGCAGTGGTTTTCTTTGACCTTGATGCCACACATGTGCATATCTTTGAATGCACAGGTTTTTGTGTGTGCACATGGGGAAGGAAGAAGGGATTATCATACCTGTTCAATAAGTCTTTGATTTCCTAGGAGAGAGAGAGATGGAAAAAGAGAATCACAATCTGTTCTCAGGTTCTTGTCACCTTCAAATTCCCCCACAAACCACTCTTGGAGGTTGCCTTGGGTGTCACTTTGAGAACTGGGAGTACAGGGGATACCATCCTTTTACTCTGCTGGATGTCTTGGACAAGCCACTGTCACCACATGTCTCAGGAGAAGCCTCTCCCTCCGACACTTCCCAGAGTGGGGTGATGTAGGAAGACTGCCTGCTATTCTGGGAGAACCCATCTTTGGGAGGCATCTTAGAGCAAGCACCTTTAGAGTGTTGGCATTCACTTGCTTGGCCGCCCTCTCCAGCTCAGTGATGTGATTGCTGAGCTGTTGGATTTTGTTGGAGATGTCCAAGACTCTGGCTGCCATGTCTTCCAGTTGGTCTAGCTGCTGCTGAGGGAAGGCATTCAGCTGCCACTTGGCTTGGTGCTGGTTCTTCAGCTCAGCCTCCACCCTGTGATTTCCACAGACTCCCTGAAAGCACAAACTCTAAGAGTCATTGTCAGATAGCTTTTTCCTTGCCTTTCTCAGTCTCTGAATGTTCTGAATGGGAATGCTGATTCCTCAGTCCTCTTCCTCTCATGGCATGGCCTCCATGCAGTATTGCCAAGGCAGATGTGTTTCTCTCCTGCCACCTCACATTCTTATGACATCCATAGAAGCCATGTTATACCAAGATGGGAATGCGCACACACACAACTCATCTGTATATGCTTATTGCCTGCTGTTAGCCATCTTTGAGTCATAGGGTGAGGAAAGAGTCTACACAATGAGCAAGAAGAAGAAAATGGTAGACTGTTAGAAATGGAGACCCATGGCTTGTGGAGTAATCTTCAACTATGAGGACACCTGTTCTTTTTGATGCTCATTGTGAGCCAGATAGAGAAGAGTGGTTTTCATTTAACATATAAGTTACATGAATATCAGAGGGCTTAATTTATCTATCAAAGGACAATCCCCAAGGCCAAGCCCACCACCAGGTCATCAACTTTGAGGCCTTTCCCACCTTTCCCATTAGGCTGCTTCCAAGACAGAGACAGCCTATAAGAAAAATGGCCCCTAAGGGCACTCAAAGGCCATCCTCCCAGGAATCTGAGAAACACACCTGAAGAGTTTGCAGTTTCTCCTCCTCCTGAGCTTTCAACTGCATATGTTCCCCGAGGTCTTTTTTTAGCTTCCTAATCCTTCGACTGAGTCGTTCCTAAAGAAACAGACAGACCTGCTTGTCAGACTGGGAATGAGGAAGCAACTCAATGGAACATGGTGAGGTCCTGGTGCTAGGATGAGACTAAAGTACAAATCTACCTAAAAGAGCCCTTAAAGTATCATGCTTGAGGTAAGGAACATGAGAATTTATTAAATGGATAATGATGGGAGGAAAGCAATGGGTAATTAAAGAAAACAACAAAAACAGCCTTTACTAACAAAATAATTTCTACTTGCCACTAAACGTTTAAAAAGTGTATCTCCTGGAAATCTTATTATTAAATGAAGCAGGGGTGGAGAGAAGTGATGTAAGAGGCAATATATGAACTCTCTGGTTCACTCCTCTGCGCTCCTGGATGGGAAGGACAAAAACCTTCTATTAGATGTAAACCCGTAGTCCAGGCAAGCACATGCCCTCTCTCTAAATCTTAATCAGTGGGTCACTGCTTCCCTAAAGCTAAGGATACAATGAATGCTTTCTATAATATACTATAAGTGATGCCAAGATATAAATAAAGATGGTAACGGTATTGGCATAAACCGTTAATGAATCAAGATGGAAGAAAGTGGTTGGTATCAACAAAAGACTCTGGGAATATTCTTCTTGAAATCTTATTAGATTAATTACAAAAGTGTATTTGCTCTACCAGGTTAAAAAAATATAGTAATGAAATCCACAGTAATGAAACTATATGGCAATGGTACCAGAACAAACAGAAAATACGAAAGGAGAGTTCAGGAACAGATGTATGTGTATAAAGGAATTTAAAAGAAAAGATAGCACATAAGTCAGTGGGAAACGGACAGAATCTGTAGGAAATGGTATTGAGAAAACTGATTTATAGAGAAAAATAAAACTGGGTCCCTATCTTGAACCATGTGTGAAGGTAGACACAAAGTGGATTAAATACCTGTGCATGGAAAGTAAAACTATAGAAAATGAAAGTAATGTTAAAGAATACATTTATGACCCAGGCATAGAAAAAGGTGTCCTAAACAAAGCCTCAGAAGCACAAATCATGAGAGAGTTGTCTAATTTGAGTAAATAAAAAAAATGAAGTATTTCCGTTCAATAATGACACTGTGGACAACATTAACAGAGAAATGACAGGTTGGAAGATGATACCTGCAATGTCAAAATCAACAAGAAACGTATGTGGAGAATATAGCAATGAAAGCCTACAAGTCAACAGGAAGACAGGAATCCAACAGAAAAATGTACAAAGAATATGAACAGTCAAGTCGCAGAAGAGGGGATATAAAAGTCTAAAGAATATGTGAATCGATCACCAAGCTCTTTGATAATTAGACAAATGGAAATTGACACAATAGTGAGATATTATTTGATAATCTCTCGGATGGATAAAAGTTATACAACTGGATATAAGCTAGTGTGGGATTGTCGTGTGGCTATCAGAATCTTAACACATGCTGGCTAGCTGTGCATTGGTACAAACATTCTGGGGAGGGTCTCGATCACTTTAGTGGCCTTTCCTTTAAGAACCAGTGGTCTTGTTTCTGAGCTTAAAAAGCAACAACAAAAAAGCTATTTCTGTAGAGTATCAATGTTTACTAAAGGCAACCCCGTGTGTGTCAGAGTAGAACTGTGACACCTAGGCTTTTCAGTGACTGATTTTTTTTGGAAACAGATTGACAAATCTTTCTTCCATGGCTTCTCTGGGTAGACCTGAATCTTCAACCTTTGGTTTAACAGTAAAGCTTGCCAACATACGCACCACCTAAGGATTCCATTTTTGAATAAGCAGTCCTGAAAATTCCTTACTTGGGTCCTCCCTGCCTCTGAGTTGATCTGACTCATAGTTGACCCTATATAGAGTTTCTGAGACTGTAAATCTTTATGGTTGGTGCATAAATTTGAATAACAGCTTCATCTTTCTCTGGCGGAGCAGCTGGTGGGTTTCAACCACTGACCTTGTGATTAGCAGTCCAGTGCTTAACCCACAGCACCACCAGGAATCCTTTTAAGTCTTAAGGAGATGTGTGTATTACAGCATTGTTTGGGGCATCAAAGAGTTAGAGTTATCTAACATCTACTAAGTGGGAAATGTGTAAGTAAAGTAATCCAGATGTCCACTATGGAATATTGGGTGGTTGTCACAGTATTCCATAGTATAGTATAGAATATGGGCTGTATGACACACAAAACGTAGGCTGATCTTAAAAACGTTTCACGGGAGAAAGATGAGGCTTTCTGCTCCCGTAAAGATTTACAGCCTCGGAAACCCTGTACAGGGTCGCTATGAGTTGGAACCGACTCCACGGCACTTAACAACAACAACAACCGTTTAGCAAATGGCATCTTTTCAGTCCACAATGATTCTAAAACTAAAATATAACC